ACGCCCTGTGGGGCCTGAACAACTGCGTCACAAGACGATTAAATGTTGCTGGTGCATTGAAAACCCTTGAGGCATCACCGGCCACTCCCAGAGCATCCCACTCAATATACTTGCCGCATTGAGCGGAATATTACTCGCTCTCATGAGCAATTAGTAATAACCATCGACCTAGTCGAGTGCGTTGTACTTTGTACAGCCAACCAATTGTTTTGAAGAACATACTTCCTAGAAATTGACGTCTGTGTCGGAATGGTGGCAGCGTTTGGCTTATTATAAGTGTGATCAATACGCCACTTGCCGTTCGGCTTCCGGACACTGAATGTGGGTGTTAATGGGGAGACTTGCTCTCACCCACCTTTCCTGCGTCGTTCTTCGCACGGAGAAAGGCGTCAATGACGTCAGACTGCTCCTTGGGCAGGGACCAGTGGCGTGTTACACAGTGTTTGGTTCCTGGGACCAGGTCAATCTCACGACGCACACCTTGGTCCGGTGGAAGGGCCAACGGTGGGTCTTTGGAAGACGACGTCTTGGAATTTTTTTACCGAAGGATCCTTCAGGATCGACGATCCACTTCTTGAGCTCAGCACCTTCTTTGTGTCCTCCAGGGCAGCTTCATCCAGAAGCGACGACAAGTTAATCTCCTTGTTCGGTCTTATCATGACCACTTCAGCTAAATTGCCTGCTATTAAGGCACCGCTAAACTCTCTATAGGACACCTCGTCCAGCTCGCCTGCAGCAACTGCTTTGTAATGTGAGCAGTACTTAGTAGTTTACGTGCCACTCCACGTGCATTACAGGATCTCGCCCTTGATGTCTCGGCTATTGGCCAACCATGCCACTCTTGGTATGTAGCAACTGCTTCAATACTTGAGCTGCGCTCAGTGGGTTACGTGCCACTCCACGTTCAGCACGCGAGCCACGCTCGAGACTCTTGTTTAATACACCTTCGGTGTTTGACAACTCGGATACTCCGATATCTAGCACATTGGCCGTCCCGGTTCATTGCCCACGCCAACAGCGCTTCTGATCCCTCACCAAAGCTCCACTAGGAGACGTGTGCGTAGCACCGAAAGTCTTCGACCTCCAATCAATCCATGGTTCATGGTTTCCCAACGATACCATACCAAGGATAAGGTCATACCTTGAATCCAAGTCTAAGACGAAGCAGCGTATCACGCTACCGGAGTCAAGAAACTTGACACCGAGGTCCACAGGGACCCTCGACACGATGTTGGTGTCACTCAACCGTTCTTTCAGCGCCTCAGCATACCACTGGCTTCCTTCGATCGTGGAGCGCCGAGCATAATTGCCTGATGCCCCGGAATCCATAAGGATCTTCCGTGGCTTCTCAAAGCCTTTCATGGTCGCTGTTACGACCAGCAAGCCCAGCTTGCATGCACGTTCCGTGTTCAGGAGCACGAGGATCTTCGGGGCTGGGCACTGCTGCCCTCTACATCTTTGACGCTTAACTGAACTTGGTTCTCCCCATTAGAGCGCCTTGTGCCTACTGGGTCTTGTCGTTTCCTCCGCGATAAACCAGACTGCTTTAAAGCAAGACGATGATTTGATGAACCTTTCTACGCCTTCAGCAGGGGACAACCGGTCCGAAGATGACGGGTGTCTCCATAGACAAAACACTATCTGGTGTTCAAACGGTGCCCGGCAACTCGGAGCTCTTCCTCCTCTTTCTCAGTATTGCTGAGATCCATTCGCTCAGGCCCGCTTAAAGAGCTCCGAGGGTGTGCATTCCAGCCAAGTGAAGTTGAATTCGGCATCCAATGCCACGATCGCCGCTCCTTCAAAAGAAGGCGAATGCACACGAAAGGCTTCCATCCTGGACACGCCAGTGCGGAGTCCCTCTATAAAGACGGTCACTGCGACCACCTGGGGGGGGGTCTGCTGCAATTCCGGCAATAAAGTTCTTAGCTCTTGGACAAGGTCCACCAACTCCTTCTTGCTCTATAGGGCGGCAAGGAACGCGATCGCACCCGACTTCCCTGATTAGGCTGCGTAAACATTCGCAAAAGCTGACACTTCAGCTTCTTTTAGAAGGGGAAGGCATTTCCAACCGAAGCATCGCATGTTAGTGCCCATTCTCGCGCTCTTCCTGAGCATGGAGATAGCTAGCGCCACGCGCTGTCGCTCGTTTTGGAGCATGGCGGATGCCATAGCCATCTCGGCCTCACTCACCCAAAGTAGGAGATTCTCTTTCTCATAACCCTCAAATGTCTTATAGCTCACCTTGAGCGGCTTGGGTTGAAAGCAACCATCCGTCGTCGACGGTGGCGTCATGAACGCAGTCGACGCTGATAGCTTCTGCGGTAAGGGCTGTAACGGAGCATTTACATCAATTGAAAACACTTCTAGGCGCGCGCTTATGGCCTCGGGCTCTTGCGCAATAAGGTGCTCCCCGCCCTCAGGGCCCAGCAGAGACAGCAGCTTATTCAGCCCGTCCTGCATGCCCTGGGGCAAATAGGAGTATTCCTCCATCTTCACAGCACATCCGTCGTAACGTAACGACTATGGGTAGATTAACTACGAGTGCTACCAAGTGCAGCGGGGCTGCCGTAGCACTTTGCTTAAAAAAGGCTATGCTAAGGTCACCGACTTTACATTCTTTCCAAGAGCCAGTACAACTCTAAGTACTTAAGCCTTTTCAAGGCAAACAAACAGTTCTGTCCAGAATCGAAACTGTATATATTTGTTTGAGAGCCGTTAATATCTAAAAGCCTAAGTTTCCCTTATTAATAAAGCAAAACCTTATTAATATAGTTATATGCATTACTACTGGCAATCCTTCCTGCTTGTTACGGTGTAGCGAAACCACTGTGTGATTACACTAGCTATGTAATACAAACCTATGTACGGTCGCACAAGATTATGCGACCTGCCCTTAATTGCAAGGGTACAAGTAGCCCCATTACAGAAGGAGAGACTTCGTCCATTATATTTTAACGCTTTTCAAGTTTGCTAAAGATCTGGCTCGTCGAGGATGCGCAACGTCCGCTCGGAGCTCATGCTCATGCTCACGGATACTAAGGCGTTGGATCAGCACAAGCTTGCAGAGCTGCGAGAACTCGTGTTTTTCCGCTAGGTATGGCGGCGAAGATACGACCGCGAGAAGAAGTGTTAGAAGATCGGCTTAGAGTATACGTTTCGCGATCGAATTCCCCATCAGGGAACGATATTGTATGATTGCGCCCGCGATAACGCGATAGGATCGCGCCCAATGACGTCATAGGAAAGGCTTAGAGGTAGCACAGAGAAGCGGGCTAAAGACCTAAATATCCACTTCCAAACATGCCTTCTACTCTTCTGAGCATAACCCTCAATGCATTAATTTGAGGTAGTCGGTGAGGAAGTGCACAACATAGCACTTCGAAAATAGCGAACTCATGCAAAACCATATCTAATTAACAATGCTCATCTCAAGAGAAATTGGTCATCGACATGATCTCGAAATGTCATTGTCAGCTTATATACCATGCGTAAGAACGACCAAGGATCTTCAAGCCTTCAAGGTTTTAGTAGTGCGATGACAAAGGCCAATGCAGACATGGATGGATGTTCACAAGCAAGCGGATTAAATCGCTTTTGAAATAAAACGAAACCATGAAGACAACTGAAGTATTAGGTGAAGAAGGCTGCTAATTATCATGTTCTCACTGAGATTACGAGCTGCGTGCCTCGCAGTTACTGTGCTAATCATCTTGTTGATTCTGCTCAATCGTGTTGATGACAAGCGAATAGAACGAATGTTAAGAGAAATTAAAAATATACATTTAGTGGTTACTGATCAGACAGTTTTCACTAGTCAATCTTTGGCTAAAGAATAGGATACTTTACCTCCTCCTGATTATTAGCCAACGCGGCTATCGAAGGCTTCACATTAAACGCCTGTTGAACTTTGTCTTTGTCGAACTTCAATTGTAACCCAAACTCTTTCATTCTTTTGGCAATTCTTTCGAAATTTTCGTACTTTGCTCGCAAAAAAACCCTATTTTCAGACTCAAGACGTTTGATATCTCTGACGGAGTAACCTTTATTTATCCACTTTGAAAATAAAATTTCAGATATTGCTTTTCGGTGAAGGTGTCTTGCCGAAATTAATCGGTCTATCATCACTTCCTCGAAATCTTGCTTAGGATATTTCGTCGCCAGAAATTCGCGAAGTAACAAAACATTTCGGATTTGGGGTTTACTAAAATGACGATAGTAGAAAAACATGGGGACTATTTTAGGGCTCGACAAAGGATCTTCTTCCAACCCAAGAGTCTTCGTGAGAGAGTTTAATGACTCGTCATTGGAATTCCAATGTCGAGAGAGACCGGTGGACAGCGGGAAAAAATACCGTCATCTTCATCAGTCATCACTGCAGGCAATCTCGCAATCTCTTCTTCATTCAATTTCTCCATCAATACCTTTAACATCTGTTCTCCACAGTCGTCATTTTTTTCGATATGGTCAGCCGTGTACGCCATAAAGGTCCAGAGATGAGGACTGGATAAAAGTTGCTCGTGCACCAAATTCTCCGTTTTAGTGAGAGGAAAGATGTTCTCGGGCGAAAGACGACAACGACTCCAATACATGCGCAATCCTTTGAAGAGGCTTGCGAAAAATAACTTTCGTCGCTCTCTGTCTGCTTTCACTAAATCCAACTCATGTGGTTTCAATTGCTCAGATCGAGTAAGAGAAGATCTATCAGTGTCAAATACTCTCAAAGCAAGCAAGTCCGCTAATTGTCTGTCTCTTTCAGGGATGGGTGGCATGTTGTTGTCTACACTCTTTTCAACTGTCACTATCTTAAGACCAGTATCACTCTCAACCATTTTGGAAGTCACAATCACCTGAGCCAACTCCTTATAGAGATCAGGTTTAGAGAGTCTCTCGAAATAAGTAATCCACACTGACAATTTTCCATTTTCAAGATTCTTCATCGTGATGGCGAGATCCGGTACTATAATATGGTAAAGCTGGGCATAGCCAACGTGCTGATTATCCCATTCCAAAAACATGCTATCCAATAACTTTCGTGGGATAGAATTGGGTTTGGTCATTGCACCAGCATCCACCCAAAGTCAAAACAATTTCATCTTCAAGCAGGCCCTGTTTCTTCATGTCTAAAAGCAAAGTTTCGTATGGATTGAGATGTTCGTAGCGGGGTGTCATGGTGAGGAACTTGATGTACAACGGTAAGTTCGGGTTTTCCAGGAAATAAAGACGGCTGAGGTTCACGTCTAAAATCTCTTCTGCTTGCTTTGCGCTTACACCCAATCGTTTCCAAGATTTGAGAAGAAACGGCTCAAACTTGAGTACGATTTCTCTCAGACGATTATACTTCTCACCCTCAATGTTTTTTGAAATGATCCTTTCTTTTATGTCCGGGCTTTTGTGGATCTCCAGTTGACTCTCGTATTTGCCTCTTGCCTTGAATACTCCGAGGCTTCGAGCTAGAGAAGCGAGCATTTCATACTCATTACGGCCGGCCACATGGCTGAGTCCATTAAAAATTGCCTCGGGTGATCTGGATTCGATTATGAACGCCTTTGTGATCTTGTCTACAACTTCAAGGAGTTTATCACTCGTAAAAAAATTGATTTCAAGAGGATTGATCTTGCTCTCGGTAATCAGACATTGCTTGCATCCCGGAAGTGATTAAGCGAAAGCAAATTGAGAACTG